TTTCATACGAAGACCTAGATTTGAGTCCCTGACTGGGCACTTCAGATGAAGCCACAACAGATCCGAAGTTTATGTGTTGCTTTGAAGATTCAACAGAGCTTCCTGATTAATAATGACAGAAGAAAGAGTTGGTGATCTACTTCTGAAAATCATTCAATAAAAACTCTATGAATGTCAATGGTCTAATCTCCAATCACAGGCATAGTGTACAACTGGGCAGTATTTCCTTCCATTGTACGTGGATGTTCTGGTGATCTAGTGCCACTCTGACAGGAATCTACCACAAATGGGATGGCCTTAACAAACAGGAGTTTATTCTCTTACAGTTTGGAGGCTTTAAGTCCAAGTTCAAAGTGCCAGGCTCTAGGGACTATGTGAAAGCCCCTTGGCCTTGGGCTTCAGCTTTGCCTCTTGCTCCCGGGCCCACTGAAGCTACAGGCATCTTTTCACTGAGACAGCTACTGGCTGCTGAGGCTAACAAGCCCAAGGTCAACAAATAAAATGGTACAGTCCCGATGTTACCATTCTGAATCACTGTTCGGTCCTGCACCTTCTTCACAATCCTTGGTATACTTGAACCCACCATGGTTACACAGCAGGCCATTAATTCAAGTCCATTGTAAGTCCCAAGGTCGGCAGAGCATGGCAGGCTGCTGAACAGTGACACAACTATGTCCAGCGTCCAAGCATGCCACAAGCTACTGACCATTTCCCAAGGCTTCTGCTTAAAAATAGGAAGCAGACCACATTCCCTAAGGCAGCAACTTAGCTGCTTACAGTAGATTCCACCATGGAGTTGATTACTAGTCTCATCATGGGGAATACTACTACATCCAGCTGCCCAGCCACTCAACCAGGCCCAGCCAAGATGACACACAAACTGAACTACAACAATGGGGTCACCATGGGTTGGGGGCTGACTCAGTAGCAGCTTGGAATAACAATATTTGAGTTAGGAAACCTTTATAAGGAAGACCTTTAAATTATATATGCCTGTACCCTTGCTGAAGGCGCTCTGGTAGCACGGTGCCTAAGGCATCTGACTGCTAACCAAAAGGTTGGTGGTTAAAACTCACCAGTCACTCTGTGAAAGCAAGACTGGGCAATCTACTTCCATAAAGATATGCCACCTCAGAAACCCAATGGGGGTCACTATGAGTCTGAATAAATTCAGTGGCAGTGTTTATTTATTTAATTATTTATTTTGATTTGGTACCCTTGCTGAGGGCTACTTTTAACAGAGGTCTATCTTGTGATTTATGGATACATCTGTTTATAAGTAGGTGAACACTTATATTGTGGTTGAACATTGAGTTTCAGTTTGTGTTGTTAATTATATTTATTTTTCATAAACATTTACTGAGAACTAAAATGTAGCTACTATTTTAAAAAAATTCAAATAATAATTTTCCACATTTGAATCATTGTTTTACAGAACTGCACTATCTACTACTGCCATTTATATAAATCCAAAGCCAAGTCAATTCCAACTCATAGTACTCCTATAGGACAAAGTAGAACTACCTCCTAAGGTTTCCAAAGCTGTAAATCTTTTTGGAAGCAGTGTATCTAAGTTTTCTCCCTTGGAGTGGCTGGCTGGTGGGTTTGAATTGCCAGCCGTTTGGTTAGCTGCTGAATGTTTTAACCACTATGCCATCAGAATTCCTTTGACAATTACTCATTATCTTTTATGCTGAAACAGTTATGTATTAACAATAAGTCACCTAGAGTTATAATTTTTTATTCTTGTGCATTAAAATAAATATCTTTTAACATCTCTTTTTGTACATCTCTGGGAATATTTCTTTAGGTTGAAATACGAGAAATCCCAGGTTTACACTATCTTCACATTTCAAAGTTTAATACATATGGTCATTTGCTCCTCACAGGCACAAAATATGCATTCCCTCTAATATTTTATGGAAGTGATATCCATTTCCACATCACCTTGCCTATACTTGATGTTACCGAACTGTTTTACTTATTTTTATTTTGTTGTGAGCTTTTAATGGAGGCTTTTCAAGGTCACCTGTTTTGGAGGGTTTTTTTTTTTTTTAATTGTTATTGTGATGACAACCTACACAACAGGACATTCTCCAACATAACAACTCCCCCATTTTCAGCTCAGGAACACTGATGACATTTTTCACGTTGTGCCACCATTATTGCTGTCTTATTCCAAAATAGTCCACTACCATTAGCATAAACTCAATGTTCCCCAAACAAAAGCTTCCCCTTTCCCCCTTCCTCCTACTCTTGGTAACCACTAACAATCTTTGGGGATACACACACACACACACACACATATTTCAGCCCCCCCCCCAACCTATCTAGTAGCTTAGCCTTCCTTCTCCTCCCATCCCTGATACCAACAAAGTTTCCTTCTATGTATAAACTTCTCCTTGACATTTTACAATAGTGGACTAATACAATTTATGTCCTTCTGTGACTTATTTATTTCATTCAGCATACATCCTCCAAGTTTATTCACATTATGTAGTGTTTTGCAGATTCTACAATTTTCTTTAGGGTTGCATAGTATTCCATTGTGTGTATGTACCACAGTTTGTTAATCCATTCCTCAGTTGATGGGCACTTAGGTTGTCACCATCTCTTTGCTATTGTGAATAGTGCTACAGTGAACAAGGGTGTGCCCATATCTATTTGTGTCCTGACTCTCACTTCTTTAGGATATATAACTAGTAATGGGATTGCTGGATCAAATGGTATTTCTATTTCCAACTTTTCAAAGAATCGCCATACTGATTTCCATGGTAGTTGTATCATGTTAATAATGGCTAATGATTGCGAGTATTTTTTAATGTTTTTTAATTGCCTGAATATCTTCTTTGGTGAAGTGTCTGTTCATATATTCTGCCCATTTTTTAATTGGGTTGTTTGTTTTCTTGATGTTGAAGTATTGGAGTTCTCTATAAATGTTAGAGACAAGTCCTTTGTCCAGTATGTCATTGCCAAATATTCTTCCCCATTCTGTGGGTTCTCTTTTTATTCTTTTGGAGAAGTCTTTTGATGCACATAATAATTTAATTTTTAGAAGATCCCAATCATCTGGTTTATCTTCTGCTGCTTGTGTATCTTGGGTCTTGCTTGATTTATTCCATAAATTAGGCACCCTATGTTTGACACTATTATTACTTATTTTTAATTTAACTTTTTATGTACACTTGACAATAATTTTAAATAATTTAAGTGCTCCAATCTTCAATTTATTCATTTCTTTCTTTGACATAAAGTCTTACTACATATATTTGTTATGCATCCTAGGTAGATAGTGATTACTTATTTGACTAAGAATTTTAGTTATGCTCCTTATAGTTTTTTGATTACTCATTGTGTGGGTAGAAGTAAAGAGAGTCTTCTTCTATTTGTGATCCTAGCTTCTATATGTTGTTGTTATGTGCCGTCGAGGAAGGAAGGTTGGGCAATCCTACTTCCGTAGTGATACTGCCTCGGAAACCCAAGGAGGGGTCGCTATGAGTCGGGTTTGACTCGACGGCACATAACAAAAACAACAGCTTCTATATTCGGTTACATGAAAAAAACAAAACAAAACAAAACATAAAAACCTAAACCATTCCCTGAAAATGACAGTAGTATATATTTAAAACCAGTGGATGTAGGATACAATTTAGAAAGATAAACATCAAAGAATTAAAAATCATTATCTTTGGGAAGTTGGAATAAAGAGGCAAAAGACTAGACATTCATTGTATTTACATTACAAACATCTGTCTTTATTGTTGAAATATATTACAAGCTTGTTTCTGTGTCATAGTTTAAAAAAAAGATCATGATAACTTGGAAAACACACTTATGCTTTTTTTGTTATTTTGTTTGCTTTTAGTTTTCTATATTTTCCTTAAAAATTAACATATGCCTAAGGCATTTGACGGGAGCTCTGGTGGTGCAGTGCCTAAGGCATTTGACTGCTAATCAGAAGGCTGGTGATTCAAACGCACCAGCCACTCCCCGGAAGGAAGGCTGGGCAATCTACTTCCATAGTCATACCACCTCAGAAACCCAAGGAGAGGTCACCATTAGTAGGATCTGACTCCACAGCAATGAGGTTTTTTTCTTTATCTTATTACTACCTGTTGTTGTTGTTGTTGTTGTTATATGCCGTGGAGTTGAACCTGACTCATAGCAACCCCTCCTTGGGTTTCCGAGGCAGTATCACTACGGAAGTAGATTGCCCCGTCTTCCTTCCAAGGAGGTTTGAACCGCCAGCCTTCTGGTTAGCAGTCAAGTGCCTTAGGCACTACACTACCAGAGCTCCTTATTACTACCTAGGGCTATCACATTCTTTCACGTGAACATAAGGTATTAAACTTGATCTCTTTTAACATTTCTAGAGTGTTGACAATGTGATACATTCTTGCAGAATATACTTGAAAAACTACCATATAATTTTAGAAAAGGAAAATGCTAGAAAGGAATAGCTCACTACCCAGTTTTGTCAGCAAAATCTATCATTATGTTAATAATGTGAAGAAAATCACTTTGAAAAGTAAAGATTTCAGTTTGGATAAAATTTTCACAGAGTTTAGCAGTCAATGAGGTTGTAATTGTGAGCTAAACGCTAAATGGGGCACAATGGAAAATTTGTACTCGTCTGTGTAAGTTTAGAATCTGATTGGGGATTCATACCACACACTCGTCAAAGTCCAAATTAGAAATTCACAGAGAATATAATAAAGCAGATCTTAGACTTATCCACTCAAATCGTTAATTAAAGTGAAAATAATTTTTAGAGGTAAAGCTCTTTAGGAGGAGCTTCCTAAGACATGAATTAAAAGTCAAGTTTTGAAGAAAAGATGGACTAGCAGGAAAATTGGGACTATATTTTTCAGGTGAAGAAGGAGTTTAATAACTATTTGATACTGAACTGATCATGAGATGCATGCAAACTAATTGTCAAAAGAGACTCATAAAATTATTATTATAAAATATATTTTTTTATTCTGTTTTCAAAATTGTAGTTGAAATCTGGAGAGACAGCTGCCAACATTGCTAGAGAACTTGCTGAACAGACAAGAAATCATTTGAATGCTGGAGACATCACCTACTCAGTTCGTGCCATGGATCAGTTAGTTGGCCTCCTAGATGTACAGCTCCGGAACTTGACCCCAGGAGGAAAAGACAGTGCTGCACGCAGCTTGAACAAGGTAAGGGCCTCAAGATGGACATAGCTTTAAAGTTGTAGTAAAACTAATGAGCCTTTCCTATTTAATTTTTCTCTTTCAATAGAACCAGGGTATTCTAGAGAAAATCACTAGTTATATTCAATTCATTTCATTAGTTCACTCTAATAGTGGCAGTTTTGAATTTTAATCTAAGAAATAATAAACAATAATCTCTCCATAAGTATTTTGAATGTAAATTTTACTTCTGGTTACTGTTTTGTATGATAAATTATGACAGTTAACTAAATAAATCTTTGTATATATAAAATATTGACAATAAGACAGATGTCTAGTCAACAGGTAGAGATTTAGAAATTGAGCAGCAATGAGAAAGGATATCAGTTAATAATCTGTTCTAGACAGATTTCTAAAATGATATAATTTAAGCTACTTGATATTACTGTTCTGTTTCAAAATCAAGGAAAGAGTGATTATATTTTCGTTTTTTATCTCCTATATATAACTTTTGGGTTTTAAATGATTCAAATTTTATACCACTAAACCAAAGCCAAACCTAACTCAACTGCCATTGAGTCTGCTCTGACTCTTAGCGAATCCTCCTTTGGTTTCTGAGGCGGTATCACTACGGAAATAGATTGCCCAACCTTCCTTCCCAGGACTGGCTGGTGGGTTTGAACTGCCAGCCTTCTGGTTAGCAGTCAAGTGCCTTAGGCACTACGCATAGTTTAAATAAAAAATTTAGATATTTTTCAGTAAATTTGAATAGTGAATAATGAATTCATTTTTTTCTACATCAATGTAAAATATATTTAATTGCCAAGATAATGAATAACATTAGTTATAAGAAAAAAATATAATTTGTTTATGTAACAAAATATCTGAAGGTGAATAGCTTCCATGGAGAAAGGATGTTAGAGTTGTTCCTATCAAATGATGTGTTCAATGAATGGCATTTTTGGAGTAGAGATGATCGATAATTGAAACTAGATTTACGGACTGAATATCATAATAGTTTTACTACTTAAAAAGCAGTAATTTTGCAATAAGAAACTAAAGCTCCTCTGTGGAATTCACTAAATAAACATGCCACTGTAGAATGAAAATGGACTTTGCAGAGTGATCTTTTAATAGATTTATTTCTCCCGTGTTCATGTTGAGGTAAGAGTTTACCTCATCAAGACAGAAGAACTTTTTTAAATATAAAAAATAAATATAAAGAAGCAAGATATTTTATCTGAGAAATACAGTGTTCTCTTGCAATTTCATCTTTAGAAAACAGATACAGTTTTATCTAGAAGATATGTTATTATTACAGATATGTTGTGCAGGGCATAAAGGAGTGATTTTTGTCACTTATAGCTCTGAGAGAAGTACAACCAAGCCCTTGATAGATTATAATCTATAATTGCCTATATAATCCAGGCATGCTGTGTTTTTAATGTGTTATTACCTGAGTGGATGCTATTAATGAATATTGCTGCCAGCTATTGTTATCATAATGCACTGGGAGTAGTAATCTCTATTAATGTTACATATCCATAACATGAGTTGTTATAACAATATTTTGCATCTTTATTTAAAAATGGTATTAATGTCTGACAATATTAGGTAAAACTGGCAATTAATGTCACATTCTAACTGGCTACAGCTAATCAGCTTGCCTACTCTGAATATCAAATAACTACATAATGGGGAAATTTCCATTTGTGATGCTTTTTAATACTCTCTTTTGTTTCCCATTTGTCTCTTTTCAATTGTTTATATAATATCGGTTGTCATATGTTAATTTGCATGATGGGGGGAAGGAGATGGGAGGGCAAAAGTTATCAACATGCTTGCTGGCTTGCTCTCATTTCCTGTGATCCCCACTGTTCCCTAAGCAGTTATAACCCATCAGATTTGCAAAGTCAACTCAGTACAAATCAATTGAACTCCACATTGAAATTCTGGAGGCTTAGAGTCCTGCAAAACCAAGATGCGAGTCAGTGATGCAAATGACAGCCCTGGCAATTTACTTGTACTCATTTCTCACTTAATTCTTTAGAAGAGTAACTGTTCTATGTTCATTGAAGAATGCATGAATTAAAGTTGGAAGAGTATTAGCCACACAAAAGGCATCAGAGTAACTGCTCCTTAAAGCTGGGTAATTTTCTCCTTCAATAGTCAAAGCTACTGATGGGAAAAAAAAAAATAGAGAAAAGGAAGGAAACCACAATCTAATTTATGAAATTATGGTGTCATTTATTTAAACATGACAAATAAACTATCATTAATACTTATCACCTGGGAAAAAAATGTTAGGGACCAAATATGAATTTTTATCACCATTTTGCCCAGTACTTTTACAGAGTGCAAACAATAAACAAAAACAGTCTTCCTTTTATTCTGCAGACATTTCAAAAATGCATTTTAGTGCTGTTTCTTTTTTATTTTATTTGGTGGACATGATCAAAAGATTTTTTCAGGAAATAAAACAGTGTAAATCAGAAGATTAATCACATTCTTTGAAGCAGAAGTTATTTCTCTCTGTGTATTTACTGTTTAGAATCAAATAGTCATAAAGAATGGGCATTCATATTTTCCCAATAAAGAGAAATTTTTGTATTTATGAACATATAGTTTGTGGTACACAATATATAATCTAAACCACAAACTTCTATATTTGAAAAAATGGCTCAGCATAGTTGAGATAAATTATACAACTTTATATGTTTTCATTTATGACCCATGAATTAATAATAACTAACCAGATGGGAAATGGATCATTTAAAGTGAATGAAGTGTATTGATTTTTACTAATTTCTACTAAATATATTCCAAGATTTCTTTCCATCATTAACAGCTTTATGCCATCTAGTTTTCACTTGGATTGCCTGACAGGGGTCGTGCCCACTATTTTCAAAGCCATTTGCTTACATATGCTGCTGCTTAGCTTTCAGTCTCTTCTAGAAAGTAGAACACACAAAAAAATAAGGTGTTTTGTGTAGATGTGTTCTTTTATTTTTCTTGTTTTCTTCTGTCACTAACTTGTTTTTTCTATTCTGTGTTTAATCTGCTGTCTTAATGGATTCAGCTTCAGAAAAGAGAGCGCTCTTGCAGAGCCTATGTCCAGGTACTTTCTGCGTTTTTATAAATGTGTTAAGTTGTTGAATTGTCTCTGTTGGTGATAGCCTTTATGTGTATCTGATAGAAAATGATTATATACCTATTTAACTGAAGAACTTTCAGGGAAAACATGAAGGGTGGGAGTGGAAAAACATAAGAAAGGGTATGCACTAAAAAGAAATTTGAGAGTGCCAGTGTTCTGCTAAACAAGAGGAATACAGACTAGAAGGAGATGCAACTTAATGTATGAACATGGTGCTCATCACTAAGAGGTGAGTTGAGTATAATATATAAATCCTTAAATTTTTCAGAGTATGAAAACATTTTATTCATACATTGGGTCAGCCAATATTTGAATAGCAAGACATTCAAAAATGATAATCAAGTTCATATATGACCACAAATAGTCCAGGTTATTTGTATATCATGTTTCTTTACTGAAATGTAACTCTTTATTGGTTTGAGACAAACTTGTGACTCTTTTACTGTCTTGCCCATTGGAAACATGGTGATCCCACTGTAAAAGTAATTTTTATCCAGCTGACATGTTCAAATTTGTTTTAAGCAAAGTAAAAATTATTCCCATATTTATGGGTTCTGTGTGAAAGAGAACAATCTCCATAAGAGAGCTTAGGGTTTTTATACAAGAAGCTAAGGAGGGAGAGAAGAAGGAACTGAGGAAGGAGCAAAAGAGGAAATATAAAAATATGAAACTGTATGACTGTAAGCTTTATTCTCTGGGTATACATATCAAAGAATTTCTATAATTGATATTAGCCAAAAAAACCCAAGACCCGCTTCACAACATTTTAAAGAGGAATATCAGCTGCACTTATAAAAAGAAATGTGCTAGAGACCCACGGTCATGAGTTCTTAGATTGGAAGTCTAGAAAATAAACTTCACGAGTTTATTTACACTGGAACATAATATTGGGGACATTGACTTTTATTACTGAAAACTCTTAAGAGTTTGTTGTTAACTTCATGGAGTCAGCCCTTGACTCACGGCAACCCTGTGCTCAGTGGAACAAAATGCTTAGGGATCAGACAGTTGTGACAGGGTTTTCACTGGATGTTTTGGGAAAGTAGATCACCAAACCTTTCTTCTTAGTCCATCTTGGCCTAGAAGTTCCCCTAAAACTTGTTCAGCCTCATAAAAAGACAATCCAAACTTATTACTTTCTAGTTGATTCCAACTCATGACACCCCCATGTGTTACTCCATAGGTTTTCTTGGCTGTGTTGTTTACAGAAAAAGGTCATCAGGCCTTTCTTTCATGGCACTGCTGAGTGGGTTCAAACCACTAATCCCTAGGTTAGCAGTCAAGCATAAATCATTTGCACCCACCCCAGGGACTTCATTCAGCATCATAGCAACACAATCTACCACTGGTAGATGGATGACAGCTGCATATGAGGTGTGTTGGCCTCAGACCATGTTAAACTGATATAAATACAAATATTAATTCATTCACTTATGCTTTTCCAATGATCTGAATACTCTTATCTACTATCCTTCTGGGTAATCTAGAACTGGGATACAAATTTATGATTAGGAAGTGGTTTTGGGAGCTTAAAATCATAGCAACAAGAACTAGCTAGCTGGTCTTGGGGAAAAGCTTATTCAAGTTGTGAAAAGCATAACAAAATTTTTAATGAACAGAAATATCTGTATTTTCTAGGTGTAGCTATTTGCATAATCCTGGCTGGTAAATTCTTTTCATTTCTCAATTTGAAGACAAATATAATCCCTGGCTGGGATTTTACCATCAAATGTACATATTGATTAATATTAACTTCGGATGAGTTAAAATATGGTTGAGTAGAATCAGCTTTCTTTAGTTATACTCTCATTCTAGGAATGCATATTGAACACTTGATTAGCGTCAGGAGACCCATGTCTCCTGATTAACACAG